AATCTTTAATTCTGAGTGTTAATCATAGTAAAATGAATTGATCTACTAGATTAGATATTGTATTATGGGCATATAAGACAACCTATAAGACACCTATAGGAATATCCCCTTATAGATTAATTTTTGTGAAGATTTGTTACTTGCCAGTTGAATTGGAGCATAAAGCTTATTGGGCTATAAAAAAATTTAATTTCAATTTGAAAGAAGCTGGTGAGAAAATATTATTATAACTGAATGAGCTTGAGGAAATCAGAAATTAATCTTACGATAATGCAATGATATATAAGGAAAAATTGAAAGAATGACATGATTGGAAGATAATAAAAAAAAATTTGAACATGGACATGAAGTTTTATTATACAATACAAGATTGAAATTATTTCTTGGAAAATTGAACTGTAGGTGGAAAGACATTCAAAGTTATAAAAGTCTATCTCTATGAGGTCGTTAATATTGAAGACCCCAACACTAGAAGAATATTTAAAGTGAATGGACACAGACTGAAATCATATGTCGATGGTCAAATACCAGCTTTTAAAGAAACAGTAATGTTGGGTCACACAGAATAGGACTGAGAATGTTGGGCTGACGACATTAAACGAAGCGATTTGTGGGAGTCAACCCATTTGTATCGTTGTTTAGTTTGTTTTGTTTGAGATATTTCACGTATATTTATGTTTATGTCTTTATGTAGTCCGTGTTTTTGATAAAGTATTTAGAAACATCTTTATTTGCTTAATTTTATGAAAAAATTGAAAATTTATTGGATCGAAATTGAAACGACGAAAATTCTGGAATTGACGCATGATGCGCCAAATCAGCGCATGATGCGCCGCGGGTCTGAAAAATATTTAAAACGTGTCAAATGACGGTTTTTGGCAGTTCTTTCTCCATATAACTCCTAAAAACCGACTCCAAACCATATTTTAGGGGGGAAAACGAGGGAAGAGTCATCATTTTTCAATTCTTATGGCTTTCCACTCTAGAAACTCCGCTAGATTTGAAATTTTCAACCAGAGAAAATTCGTCAGTTTTGATGCACAGAAGTTATATGATCGAGTTCTAATTAAGAAGAGACTTATCAAAGAAAGGAGATATGTGAATCGAGGATTTAGCACGCCGAATACTCGAGTAGAAGAAACTATTGCGCAGAGGCGTTGAGGAGTGTTTTGCTACACTACTGCCGCTATTATTGTTCCCATAGTAAAAGCATTTTATGCAAATCTTCATGGGATCAACCAAGGAATGATTTACTTGCATGGGAGGTTTGTGTAATTCACTCCTTCAAGAATAAACGAGATGTTTATGATTGAAAATTTGTCTATCTGTCATTATGCAAACTTTACCCCCCACAAGAGAGAATATCCCACAAGAGAGAATATGAATGAATTATATCGCTACCTTACGGATGAAGATGTTAATTGGGAGATCAGAGATGATGGAAATGTAAGTTTTCCTTCATTATTTTTAAATCCAATTTAAAAAGCTTGGCTCTTCTTCATTTCATCAAAATTATTGCCTACTATGAAAATTAGTAAGGTCACTAAGGAGATTGTCATTCTGAATTATTGTATTCAAACTGAAAAACCTATTGATGTTGGAGCAATTATGATGAAATCGATTTTGGGTTTGTTTGTAAATGGATCTGCAACTGGACTGGTACATTCATCGACTATTTTCTTACTGTGCAGTCAATCACAAGTACCTTATGAAAGTTGGGAAAAAGTGTTACTTTCTTGGAAGTCGATGGATCCAGAAGTCTACTGCAACTGTATTGGAATGGGAGATGAAAATGATATGAATGTACTGATGGATCAAGGATCTCAGAATTCATCACTTGTTCAGCCCTACTACAACTTGAGTGCACATTCAAAGAGGATCAAGAAGATAGAAAAAGATGTGCAGAATCTCTTGCACGTGATTGAGAATATATTGGATCATCTGGATTGGAGACTGAAGGAACATTTTGAATATACAGGGCGTATTGAAGATGGATTAGTACGTATGTTCAAGAAACATGTTTGAATTGAAGAGAAAAATTCAACTGATGAATTTCCATTTCAACCCTTCTACAATCTATATGTGCATCACCAATTGATGGGAGATATCCAGAAAACAATAGTGAAGATGATGTTTGATCTTAATTTATGCACGAAGTTTTTTGTGTAGTAATGTTTGTTTTAGTTTGTTGTGTTGGATTGCATTTCCTTTCTAATGGACACTATCTATATTTATGTTTTGAATTTTGATATTTAGATTTTAGTGTTAAGATGTTGGTTTGCTTTAGAACATTGAATTTAATGTTTGTTGACTTGAAAAATGTTAGTTTGTAATAGCACAAATTTTATATATAAACGTGAGTTTTGTGTTGTTTGTGAAAATTTTGTATTAGTGTGATGTTTATATATGCTTAGAAAGGTTTATTTGAGTCAAATAGAGATTAACGTAAAGTGGTACAGAGCAGATTTCCATATCACAGCCCTTGCTCCCTCCCCTATCTCCTTCTCCCTCGCCCTCGCCTCGCCTTCCAGTAGCTAAAAACGGTCTCCCTAAAGTAATAAGTATTTCTTTATCTTCCTCCATATCTAAAACAATGAAATCCACATGAAAGATAAATTTATCAACTTTTACTAACACATCTTCTATAACTTCCTTAGAATATGTAACTGAACGATCCGCTAACTGAAGAGTTACAGAAGTAGGTGAGACATCTCCTAATCCTAATATTTTGAAAATTGATAAAGGCATAAGATTAATGCTAGCTCCCAAATCACATAAAGCTCTTCCATAAAATTTTTCACCGATAGCACACGGTATAGTGAAACTACTTGAATCTTTTAATTTGTCAGGAAGCTTTTTCTGAATAATTGCACTACACTTTTCGTTAAGTACAACAGTTTCATTATCAGTGAACTTCCTTTTCTTGTTAAGAATATCTTTCATAAATTTCACATAATTGGGCATTTGCTCTAAAGCTTCTACG